ATTAATGGCTCCCAAAACATTTTACAAACCATACACAAGTACAGCACCACAGAAATGCAGCCACTTCTGGTGTGGAACACAGCAGTTATTGAACAGCACATCACCACTCTATACCCAAGAGTCCAACGCAGAAAACGAAGTAGCAATTCTAGCAATATATTTTTAGTGTTCCAATTACCTTGTTATACAGGTGGCAAGTATAAAATCAGAAGCTTCAGTAATTACCTAGCTGTAACCTATTTTCAACTCAAAGGTGCGCGGCCAGGTTTATTGTTAAGCTAAGTGCAGTCATAGCTGTCAATAGACTCTACTGAACCACTACGGATATGTACTTGCCACAATGGAATGACTCAATCGGTGGGAAATTTCCACTGCCCCCTCGGTCATACAAAGACTGTTCCCCCAAGGCACCATTTTATATACAAGTACAAACAAGTCACACGTCACTGCTGACGTATCAGGTTGCCACCCTTTGATGCTACTTAGCTACCACCCATCGCCCTGAACCTCGTGGTTTGATTAGATCATCTCTATCCATCATGCTGTCGTTTTAGACCCTTTCCTGAACCTGGGTCTGTATCTGTGAGGAGTGGGTACCAAGATCTTTTTTAATGAGCTAGTGGTACCATGTGAATTTAACTTATGACCAGTACCAATTACTGTTCTGCACTCTCAGCCCTGTTCATGCCAAGTACTGTGAGCAGGGGCCTGCCTCATACTCACAGCTTAGCTTTGCTTTATGTTAGCCATGTTTTGGCCATTGTTAACTAGGCCTCAGACCAGGCCTGTGCTGCATGGGCTTTTGTTTTAGGCCTTCATTTTACCACAGTTGCATCCTACAACACTTGATTTATTATCCATATTGACAAAACTGACCTGGACACACAGCACCATATTTCATAATCTCTTTATGAAGTGCCCCCGTTTTGTGCAAAAAATATGTAAATGAGGCAAAGCGTGGAATATTGCCAAGCCTCATTTGCATACATTAATGGGGCTCCGTTTTTGCACAAGAGCCATTCTTCCGCATTTTTTTCAGAAAGAACGGCTCTTGCGCAAGAGGGGGGGTTTGTGCAAAAAGGGGCCATGTAGACAGCTCCTTTTTCCGCAAAAGCCTCTTGCGCAAAAACGGAACCTAACTAATTATTCAAATGAGGTGCAGCAATATTCCACCCTTCGCCTCATTTGCATTTTTTTGTGCAAAACGGGGGCAGTGTAGACATAGCCTTTACGTTTAATGCCACATAAGAGTCTACAAAACTGGCTTACATCATAAGCTATATTACAGTACTATCGTGTTATTCTGAAAGCCATTTTGTAGACCCAACTCATTCCAGTCTACTCTGAAATTTGAGAAGTCACCACCTCTCATGTAAGATCCATCTTTAAATACCATTCTTGCTAGTAAGATGCTACTGAGTTTCAATATCAGTGTTAACAAGATCTAAGTATTCCTATGGTCCTGCTGCTTACCTCCTGAGGAGTAAATTAAGAAAAAATGGATAATATACAAATCACAAAAGCAAGAAGACAAAGTCGTATTTTCTCATCATGTTGGCCTGTAATCTCATTAGATCACATAAATTAAACAGGATCGAGCCAGGATCACTGCTTGGATGGAAGACCTCCAGGAAAATCCACTGGAGAAAGTGACGCTTGGATGGAAGACCTCCAGGAAAATCCACATAACTGGAGAAAGTGACGTTGGCCATTCAGTAGGTGGCGCTCTTCCCTAAATTAATACTGAACTATTCCAGAGATGCAGACTTTCAAACATAAAAAAATAATTTTTAATCAGCTGTCAAACATCCTATGGCCCTTTCTGCAAGAAAAAATGCATTAGCAAGAATATCCTGGCCAAATGTTACTTCCAGTCATTACATTTTGTCTACCAATGTTTTCCCACATGTTTCAACTGGACACAGAATTCTTTTCTGCCTGCCCAAATACTGCAGCACTTCTGTTGCAATTTTTAACAGATGATCGTCTCTGAGAAGTAGGGGTGTATTATCTACACTTTCCAGAAAGTTAAACTGAGGCTATGAGCAGTTGAATGAGTTGGTTAAGGTTAGCAACTTAGCAAGGGAGTCAGGTGTCCTGGCTCCTATGTCCTAAGACGACTAAACTTAAATAGTTGTATTAGATATGGAGGGGAAGGAGAAAGGAGACAAAATCAAGTTATATGTATATCTAGTCAGGTGCCTGACCTGTAAAATGAGAACAAAGTAGTCAACAGGCTTGTTTCTCTGGTAGAGGTAGTATTCTGGGGCTTTCTTGTTCTTCTCATCGTATTTCAGCTCCTGGATGACATTGGGATGTTTTAGCAGCCTTAAGAGGATCTTCTCTGACATCTGGGAGGGACCAAATGCTTCTACTTCTACAAACACAAGACACAACTTGGCATTACACCTCAGGTGCATGGGGATGAACTGGCAGTAGTTGTCAAGGAACATGGAAGCAGACGCATGTGTTACAGAATTGGAGTTTTCGTAGGGTATGTCCACACAGGTATAAAAGACCCACAGCAGGATCTCAGCTGACCCATGTCAGCTGACCAGGGCCCAGGCTTCAGGGGTAGAATATACTGTGTGGACAGGTTGGAATTTGGAACAGCCACTTTCAGCCCAAGTCCAAACATCTACACAGAAATTTTTCAGCCTGAAGCCTGAGCCCAAGGCAGCTGACCTAGGTTAGCTGCAGGTTTATTTATCCCTGGGTATACATTCCCCATGGCATATTTTCAAGGAGAAACAAGAATACTCCACTTCCCAGATATTCCAAATGTACTTGCCCTCTTTGAGTTACTAACATTCTTTCCAGATGACGGAGAAAGATTTCCCCAACATGAAGGGAAAAGGAAGTCGAGTTTGTCTATCTGAGAGCTCAGAAGCCACAGTAGTTTGGGCTTATCCCTGGGTATACATTCCCCATGGCATATTTTCAAGGAGAAACAAGAATACTCCACTTCCCAGATATTCCAAATGTACTTGCCCTCTTTGAGTTACTAACATTCTTTCCAGATGACGGAGAAAGATTTCCCCAACATGAAGGGAAAAGGAAGTCGAGTTTGTCTATCTGAGAGCTCAGAAGCCACAGTAGTTTGGGCTCGTTCAGGGACTGTGTAGGAAACACTGGGGTCCCAAAAACCTTTGTTTGGGTTTTACAAGTAGATTTGTTATTTATTGCATTTATTTCTATAGGTCTCTGATTGTTCTCTGACCTAAAGAACTGCTACAGATGGGCCCACTGTGTAAACCCAAAGAAGAAATAAAAGAAAGGTGTCAGAGCGCACATGGGGACAGTGGTTGAAAGTGAAAGGGAGAGTGCAGGCAAATTCACACCAGTGGGATTAATGCATAGCACACACAACACACCCTAAAACCTCTGTTCTTACTGTTCAACCTTCCCAACGAGAGCAATTTAAAGTGAAGAAAGCCCAGCGTTTTGTGGGCTGGACTCAAGAAGTAGACATGCAAATTGCCAATACTTAGAATAGCTGCTTTCAGGACAGGACTTTGGAGACACTGGACTGGCCGCAGATCCTGGTCTGCCTTTAGAACAGGACAACCAAACTGTAACATCTGACTTATTTAGCAATGCTTCCACAGCCAGATTTAGATATAAAATTGTTTTACATTTCCTAGACAAGCACAGAAACAGCGCCACTAAATTAAGTCAATACCAATATGTCAAGACTGTGTTTGGGAATCTCCATCGAACTCTGTGCCCATACAATAAACAAAGTGTTATTTGTTATTAAAGCCGCTTCTTCCAGCTGAACAGTTTCCTTTCATTGGAAGCAGCAAAGGTGAAAGGTGCGGACTGAAAGGCCTGTACACAGAAAGCTATTGCCTACACACCAAACAAGTACAGCATAAGCAATAGCACACTCACTGAAGTGAATAGGTCTTATCACTGATGCTGAGAGACCAACTCTGCAATGAAAAGAAAATCCAGTCCCTATAAGCAGGGCTACTCAACGTGCAGCCCGCGGCGTAGTTTGGGTTTACGTGGGGCTCAACACGCGGCTGACAGGTGGGATCCTGTGAACATGGCCTCCACTGGGCACACGCGCCACCACAGCGAGGTGTCTCCCAGGTGGAGTATGTATTTGAAAGACGCAAGCAAACAGGCTGGCTAGAACAGACGGGTACAGGGTGTCAGTGTTTCTAGCCCTCGGGGAGGAGGTGCCGGGAGCACAGGGGCACTGTGTGAAAGAAGCTATTTGCATATATTTTAATATATATTTGCATGTATAGGCAACCACACTTAAGTTGTGGCCCTCGGTATGTGCTGTGAGTATCATTGTGCAGTATCATTGTGGTCCCGGGGATTCCAAAGTTGAGTAGCCTTGCCCTATAGCCTACTCAATCCACGGGCTCTCTGCAAAGACTGTCAGGAAGTGAGTCAGGAATGCAGACATCTCTGCCCACTGAAAACCGGACTGAAGCCATCGACTCATGCCCCACAAACCAGCAAAAAAATTTCAACCACCTGTACAATTTGCAAAAGAGGCTGAGTCAGGAATGCAGACATCTCTGCCCACTGAAAACCGGACTGAAGCCACCAACTCATGCCCCACAAGCCAGCAAAAAAAATTCAACCACCTGTACAATTTACAAAAGAGGTTTTCATTTGGAGTCAAAGCCCCATGGAACAGATCACACTACCCCCCTGAATTCCAGGATCTCTTTCCAGATGAGGCACCAAAGGGGAATTACACTCAGCAATCCAGAGAACTGGACAGCTGGCACCCAGTCCTCATTAGTTTGTTTCCTGAGCGCTACCTCGTGGGGAGTACTTGCTAGTCGTTACCCTGGCTAACTCTATACATGCAGGGTGGCACTTGCATTCAACCTTACCTTTCAGACCAATTTAAAGTTACTGGTCCACCCCTGGTAAATGTCTCAGAGGGTTCATGCCGACACTGAACACAGGAGAGGAGAGAATTTAAAAAGAAAACACAAAATACACAAACGTGGCATTATTTGTCCCCCTACTGTCCAGCCTCCCTCCCTGCCAGCACTGCCCACCTGCCTCCTTAACCTCCACCGGCAATCTAGCTCTCAGGCTCTTGTGCGATTGCAAGTCGCGATAAGCTGTACTTGCCTGTTGCCAGGAAACGGTGCATTGCCAGGAGGAGCTGTGGTGATATTTTAACCTTCATCTCGCTGTCTGTCTGCTTGAAGGCAGAGAAGTCCTGCTTCCTGTCCCGATGGGCTACTTTCTTCTTCGTCTTGTTATCAGCTGGGAACGGGAGAATGGGAGAGGAAGAAAGCAAAGTCAGTTAGAGCAGGGTCACATTTGAACTGCACTGAATGGAGATACAGGCCACCCTCGCTGCAAGTCCAAGGTACTTCCCAAAAAACTTGGACTTAGCAAAACAGCTTAAAGTGGGGAATTTTTTCCTGCGGCTGACTTCCATTTCCACAATTTTTTCTTGGAGTGACTTAAGAGTGGGGAATGGGAGGACTTAGGACGCATTCCTACAAGCGTGAACGGAAAGGAGATATACTGGGGTGACTTATGGTGGGGATGCCCTGTATCTAAGACAATCTAAACCACAAGTGCCATCTAGAATAACATACAGGACAGAGATACCTCTCTATTATAAACTTAAAGCCAACTGTATGAGTGATACAACTTCAAGTGTATTCAAGTGCTCATCTTGCATTTGTCCCACTGTGTGGTCTCAGGCAGCTGCCCAGAATCTCATTGATTTCAATGGGATGAAGGAGTGTGCCTATAGGATTTTGACTAGAGGACCATGGCTTGTATTTTTATACTATTAGAAGGCCGCGTGTAGGCATATAAATGATGAGGCTTACTCGTTCCGGTTAACTGGGAGGGGCTGGAGCAGCTCCCCGACGGCTCCAGCGCCGAAGGGCCCACCAGAGCAGCCCATGTCTGTGGTGAGCCTGGTTCCTCCGCCACAAGTTACACACTGCAAGCTCTGCAGTACAAAGTGTCTATACAGAAGTTTTATACTGCAGAACCTGCAGTGTGTGTAACTGCGTAACTGCTGGGATTTTTAACAGCCGCATGGTTACATTTTTAAACCACTTTTTACATCCCTAGTCTTATTCTTGACAGTTTTACTTAAGATAAACAGATAAACCATTTCAGTATCTGCAGTGGTCATTTTATTCTCTTACGCACATCATAGGAATAACTTCCAAATACCAAGCTTATTTAACTGCAGACTGAGCTATTTAATGTAACTGGTAATCATTAAATAGCCAGCATGCAATTCTATACCCTGACGGTACAGATCATTATATCTATTTTCTATGTATTAGAAACTATTTCATGTGCACATGAAACGGTTGTGAAGTCAAGCGCTCAAAAGCCAGGAAACACCAGAATGAAGGCTACCTGTTTTACTTACATTTGGCACTCTTGTCCATACTATCGTGATACAATCTTTAGTTACCCAACCACATCCATTCTCAGGCTTTTCATCTCAGTCCCAGTGTCCTTGGCCTGACAGTTCTAGTTCGCCCCTTCCAAGCTCCTTATCTGATCTCTCTCTTCCCCTTACTCCCTTTCACATGCTGGTCCCCACTGTTCCCAGTCCCTGTGTCCTTTTCCGGTCTCCTTATCCCACAGCCAGTGCCATTTCTCCCCCTATGCCCTCAGGCTCTTCGTCAGATCTCCCTCCTCCAGCAGCGTTTTTTCCCCTTCTACTTTCCTCTCTCTCGTCCACCTCTTGCTCCCTGAGCATTTGCATCAGACATTCCCTTCTCAATGCTGCACAGGTTCCTCCATGCTACCAGGCCTTACGGAAAGTGCAGCAGACAAGTCAGGTGCCCTGACATGATCCCACCCAGAACTGCAACTGCCCCAGGCTGAACCATGCCCAAAGCAGAGAGTGCCTTTGGGAGTCCACTGTGCATGTGCAAACTACACTTTTTCCAAGGCTTAGAACATAGCCAAATTTGGGCAGGTTTTCATGGGGGTGGCAAAAAGCCCTTCCCAAACACAAAGCCCACACCCCTCCTGGCAAATGTCACAGCTCTGTTTCAAAGCATGGGGGAAGTAGACTGTTTCAAAACGAAACTGCCAGAAATGTTCATGATGGGCATAATACATTTTTGTTTAGCCTTTTCCTTGGAAATTGCTGAGTAATGCTGACTGAAAAATGTAACAGCATGATGCTGAGCCCCAGCATGGAAAATTTCAGCCCAAATGATTAAAGTCTGGCAAAGTTATAAGTAATTGCAATCAGATGGATGATAGGAACTACAGGTGGTATTATAGGTGGTGTTAACTATAGGTGGTGTTATAAGCCTGGCTTATAAAATACTCACACTGAGTGATGCTTCCCATACAAGAAGCTTGACTACAGTTCAGGCTGCACAAGGGTTAACTTCCACCCCTTTACAACCATCCCTGAATGTTAAGGAAACCAGCAGTTGAGACAACGTTGATATCAAACCCCTACAAAATTCACATGCTTCTCCTCCTACTCGCTGCTCTCATACCATGCATAAAGCACTTCACTACACATATTTGGAGCGACTATTACAATACTAAAGTAATATAAATACCAAACCTGCCACACTTTTAATGATCCCATAAACTCTCTATGTGCACACAGCCATCCCCCCTCGCTCCCGGTTCTTTCAAACCCTTTGCTGCAATTGGTGGACTGGATTCCAGTGCTTCATAATGAGCCAACAAGTCCCCTAGATGCTTTGTATTAATTCATAACAGATGCTTTTGGACAGTATCTTCCAGGAAGCCTGGGGAATTCTCTCCCATCTGATACTACATACACTTTCAATAGTTAACCTCTCCATGGAAGAAAAATTTCACATAGACTTATGTTCACCAGATTTAGTTCATCAGCCTACCAAGACCTTGAAATACAGGGTCTAATCAACCCTTTTCATTTTCAATATTAAATATCAAATAATCCAAATGATTTCTCTTAATAAAAAAGCAAAAGAGCTATATCAAAAAGAATACATAGTACAACTGACCTGTGGGAGAGCCCACTATCCTCAAAGAGGCAGGTACAATACACCCAAGGGAAAACGTTTTTGCGGGGTAAATGAAATCACGAATCCTGCTTTAAAATATTGCACCACAATCCTACTGTCATCCACTATTGACAGTAATGAGAGTTCTATTACACAGATGATGTCAGAATTCTACATGCCTCTCTTTTATTGGTGCTTATCATCAGTAGGTCCCAAAGAACTTTTCAAAGGAGGAAAGTACCATTGTGTCCATTTTACAGATGGCGAAATTGACACACAGAGCAGGGAGCAAGACATGCACAAGACCAGAGCCAGGAACAGAACCCAGGTCTCCAGAGGCCGAGTCCATTGCTCTCTCTACTAAGTCGCACTGCCTCCTTTAAAACACAGTCAAGGTAAAAGTACTGTGTCTTTAAGAACTGCCATATAGGAACTTCTGGGTTCCTGAATACTGGTAAGATAATGATCAACTGAAAGTGGCTCAGAGAATAACAAACTATCAGGAAGCTGACGAGATAGACTTAGGAAAGAGTCACTAATATTTACAGAAAGTGAAAGGAACAGTGATGCAAAGGATATCTGAAAAGCATAGGGGTATTTCAAATGATTATTTGCATTGCCATTGTGTTTATAAGCCCCAATGTGTTAAGCCCTGCACAAACACACAGTAAGATCTTGTCTTCACTCTGTGGAAGATTGACATTGTCGTAATCAATCTTCCCAAGTTCAATTTAATGAGTCTAGTTAAGATGCGCTAAATTGAACTCAGAGGGTGCCCCCGCCAGCATCCCGTACACCCGCTCTTGAGAGAAGAAAGGCAAGGTTCCTGCTGTGAGGATGGCACCACACTCGGCTTAAGATAGTATGGCTCCAGCTACTTATTCTATTTAGCTTCCGGGTCGAGTGCAGACCTGGCCTAAGAGACTGTGCCTACCCCCAACAAATCTAAATCACAGTTAAGACTGAGAATTAAGGACAGGAGAAAAGACGTCCAGTTTTGTACCCCAGCTATAGAGGCAGGACCTGGGCAGAGGGAGATACTAGGTGACTGGACCACAGTGGGACTGGAAATCTGAAAGAGCTGGGAAAAGACCCCAGATCCCCTGGGTCTCAGTCAAGAGCTCCAACCATGACACCTTCCTAGTAATATAATTCTTTTCCATCCTTAATGTTAAGTGGTGCCCTATGGACTGAGTAAACAGTGTTCCTAAGGAAACAAGTACTTCATCACTGCTGTGTCCCTACCAATTCACTGGCAGCGACCAACTCTGAAGAGAACCCAACCCACTGCCCTCTAGCAGAGAATGGGAGTGGCATGGAGAGCTCTCGGGGGTGATGGGATATTAAATAAGTAGAAGCACAGAGAACTTGAGAAGTGCACTAAGGTCACAGAATATGATTGTTTGAAGTGGGGAAATGATAACTAAACTGATGTTTTGTTCACATAAACTGTTGCGATCGAAGGATTCCACAAAAAAGCTGCCTGTTCAGCATAGAGGGGGGAATACTGCAGAAATTAAAATGACGGCAGCCGGCATTTGCACCTGTGTGGAAATCTGATCTGCTAGACCTGAAGTAATACGTCACCACCGTTCTCCAAACAAATCTTTGACGTTTAAAGAAAAAGCACAAGAAACTTCTACTCACTGTACAAATCAGTTTCATCTAGAATCTCGGATTTGATGATTTCTTCAATCACGTCTTCTAATGTGACAATCCCCAGGACTTCATAAAAAGGGTCCCCTTCCCCTTCATTGTTGACTCGCTGTACTATTGCCAGATGAGATTTGCCTGTAGGGAGACAGATTAACAATTATGACTTTAGATTCAGAGATTAGAAATGAAATTATGAGCAAAGGATGAAAATACAGACTCATAAGAAACTATATTTCATACTTCTAGAACACAGCAACCATAGTCATAGAATCACAGAACACTAGAACTGGAAGGGACCTTGAGAGATCATTGAGTCCAGTACCCTGCCTTCATGGCAGGACCAAGCACCATCTAGACCATCCCTGATAGATGTCTATTCAACCTGCTCTTAAATATCTCCAGTGATGGAGATTCCACAACCTCCCTGGGCAATTGATTCCAGTATTTAACCACACTGACAGTTAGGAAGCTTTTCCTAATGTCCAACCTAAACCTTCCTTACAGCAGGACCCCATTGCTTTAAGTCCAATAGATTCCTAAAGGGACACTGTCAGCTAGAAGAAAAAAAAATCAGATTTCCATATGAAAATGTCATTCCTGTTGTAGGGATGTAAGCAAGTAGTTGATTACCCGATAAGCCTAAGCTTATTGGGTAATCGAGTTGACTACTTGCTTTCCCTCCTCCCCCCCGCTACCTCTGTATCAGACTGGGACTGAAAAAGGCAGAAAGGAAGTGGGAAGAACAGGTGATGGTGCCTGGTTCCCCCTACCACTGTCTCCATGGTGCCTCCTGGGAGGCATAGTAGAGGAGGCTGCTCCGGCAACAGCCTCTGTCCACAGTGGCCTGGGTTGGCTATGGGCGGAGACTACTCTGGCAGCAGCCCCTGTTCGTGGCCAGCCCCGGCCGCCATGAACAGGGACTGCTGCCGGAACAGCATCTGCCCACGGCCAGCCCGGGAGTGTGGGGAGAGTGCCAGAGCAGCCTCTGTTTGCGGTGGCTGGGGCTGGCTGTGAACAGGGGCTGCTGGACACAGCGTGAGCTGGGACTGAGCAAGCCCATCTCAGTCCCAGCTCACACTGGTCCGGGACTGCTGTGGCCTTGCATTTTAAATGTAGTGTGAGCAGCCCGGATCTTACTATCTTTAAAATGCAGAGCAGTAGTGGTCCTGGCTTGCACCGGTCTGGGACCTACCTCTGCTGCACCACTGTGGTTTAAATGTAGTAGGAGCTGGACTGTCTGGGCACCTGGCTTCTATGACATTTAAACTGCAGAGGTACAGCAGGGGTGGTTCCGGCGTGAGTCAGAACAGAGTGCCTTCCCTTATTGACTAATCGTGTAGTTGATACGAATTGTATCGACTACATGATTAGTCAGTTACCCGCCTCTTAACATCCTTATCCTCTTGCTGCCACAAGTTGCCTCTAAGATTGCTAGAGCTGAACAGTTAGACATAATGAACATTCCTCCCAGTATAACCTGTGCATTTGTCAACCCTTTGCGTTAAGTCCATTTCATTGTTTTGTTTATGATCAACTTCATGTCCTGTTTTTACACCAGCATCAGGACATCGTCCCTCTGCCCTGCTGGCACAGAGCTCCCATACATGCATTTCCTCACACTCTGTAACATCAGCAACAAAGCTGAAATTGAAGTAGCAGCAGGCAGGCATGTACACAGGGCAGATGTGGGGGGAGTGGGGTAGATCCAATTATGTTTGCTGGTGGTGGTCTCTCCCTGCCTTCTCCTCGGTCCCAATCCCCACCAAACATGAGACTGGCATTACCATTTCTTAAAGGTAAGGGATACTATTTAAAGAGAGTTCCTTCAGAAAAAGAGTACTTTGAAATTAGTCAATCAAAAAGTTCAGGTTGATTTCAAAGTACTGTTAACTCCAGCGAAGAGGATAAAGCTGAAACGGGATGTGCTAGTGACAATGAAGTTCCCTCTGATGCCATCAGTGGCTGTTTTATTTCACAGTGCACTAATACTCTTACAATCTTCTCTGCCACCTGCAGTGTCATGAGAACATGATAATGCCATAGATTAAAGAAAGCAGCATATTTGGTAGCCAATTTCTATAGCCATCATTGAATCTTACTTAATTGCAAAGCTCAGTAGAAAACTGCCTCACACTCTAGGATTAAAGAGTTTGCCAAGACACACTCAACCAGCAAGACCCAAGCTACCTGATGAAGTACAGGTATAGTGGTCTCAATGCACGCTGGCTATCGTAAACTGGGCAATATTATGTTGCATCCCCTTTATTGGTCTCCTGCCTGACATCTAACTCACCCACTCTGTGGAGCAAGCCATGGAACACGACCAAAATAGTCCAACTTTTGTTTCCTTTCCTCAGACCCCTTTATAGGCAATAATGTCTGGATGCATGAAGATTTGGATTATCAGACTTGCAGGCATTCAGACTATTCCAACCCAGGATCACTCATGCTCAAAGAATGAAAATATCTTGAACAAATTAGACCAGGGAGGAAAACTTATCAACGACTGATATAAACATTGCATCAGGTCAAGTCAATTCACTTCGGTAAGATTTTCACATCTGCTTTCCCAGGGACCCAACATAAGCAGTTAAAAACAAATTCTTGGTGAATGCTGTCTGTCGAAAGTTAAATTCTTTTGCTATTCCCAGCTTGTAATCATTTAAAAGGAATTTTCCAAAGCAAGGTCTAATATTAGACTCAAAATGAAGTTTCCATTCCACTTAGGCAATATTCTCACCAAAGTAACTACTGCATAATCTGATTGTCTTGGAGCTACTCGTTTAGATGCAGATGGACATACTTTAAATACCAACTCCACAGCACCAATGAGTCTTATCTTGAAGAGACCTTATTCAAGAGTAAGTTATTAGAATGATGATTTGCAAGCTAAAAGATCAACATGCTTAGCGAACTGAAAGTTTCACTGATCTCTCTTTATCAGCATTTTTTTCTTTTTGCGTCCCTGGTGAGATTTCCAGATCTCTCAACCTCTATTTCTCACAAGACACCATTTAAAACTAGTTGCCTTCTTTGTTCCCTGCAGCATTTACTTCTGAGATGACATTAGCTGGATGTAATGCTGTCCATGCAAAAACTGGCCAGTAGGATTGCCAGGTGTCCAGTATTCTACCGGATAGTCTGGTTTTTGCACCCTCTGTCCGGTAAAAAAAAATAAATCAGAAAATACTGGACACGTGCAATGTCCAGTATTTTCTGTTTTTCTGGCAGGGCGCCGGACAGAAGCCTGGCAGGGGGAGTGGCTAGGAGGCAGGGCTGCGATCGGCGCTGGGAGCTTATGGTAGCATGCAAAAGCCTGGCGGGGGAGTGGCTGGGAGGCGGGGCGCAATCGGCGCTGGGAGCCCTCAGCTGACTGTGTCTGAGAAGGAGTGACTGATGAATGGAATAGATTGAGTGCTGATTGAGTGCTGTTTTCTTAATATACCTTTTACTTGTCTGGAAGTCAAAGAGTTTTTTAAAAATAAGAAATTGATAAAAGCTGCACAATCTAATGCAAAATATATGATGTAGGATGCAGACTGTTGAGCGTTTATAATAAAGTTTAATACTTAATATAGGATGTGTGTTCAGTGTGAGTGTTTTTTTCTTTTTCCGTGACAAATTTTTAGCCCTGGTGTTCGGTATTTTTTGGGAGACCATCTGGCAACCCTACTGGCCAGATATTAGCCTGAAGATCTGAAGGTAACATCAAGGCAAGCTCCAGAAGTCAAGACATTTATTTTCAAACTAGAAGGACCATTCTTTTCAATGAGCCATTGATTTCTATCACATCCCAGAAATGATCTTAATAAAAAGATGGACAGAAATGATCTTAATAAAAGAAAGTATAGAGCTGAGCACACAAGACAGAGGATAATAAGATCTCTTTCCCGAGCAATCCACAATCTATTAAATTGTTTCAGCTCTAGATTATATAAAACACAGCCTTTTATTCCATATCTATGGCACTTTTCACAATAAGGAAGAACTGGTTTATCTAATTTTACATTTCAAATAGAAAGTAAGCACCCCAGGGATCTGCGTGTGCCCGGGTCAGTCCCGCTCCCCACCGGCTGATACGCTCCTTCCCCCACCTCCTCCTGGCCGGCCGGTTGGTTCTCCCCCACTTCTCCTCCCGATCTTTCCCAGCCAGCCCCGCTGCCCCCA